GTGGGGACAGTTCCCAGCCAGTCCCTTGCTGAGCCGGTGGAGGAGGAGGGAGGGCTGCCTGATGGGAGGCTCACCAGCAGCTGCCCCACATCCGGGACTGCTCCTGGCCAACCCTTGCTGGGCAGGGAAACCCGTCCAGCAGGGAGCTTGCTGGAACCCGTGTGTCTCCTGACCCCGTGCACACCAGAACCAGCCCCTATCCCCCTTGCCAGCCCTGAGGCTAGCACCCAGGTAAGTGTGGAGCTCCCCCTGGCTGCTGCAGGGGGGAAAAACAAGGAAGCAGCTGTGTATGGGGCTGCTCCCACTGGAAGCAAATCTGCTCTCAACAGGGTGCGCGTGTAGACATGCTCTTGAGGAAGGTTTACTGTGCAGTATTTTACTGTGCAGTAAGCCTAAAGCACATTAATAGCGCATGTAGACGCACCCAGTGTGTATGAACTGGACAGATGTCATGGTATCTAAGCTAACTCACATATTTCTGTATGGCACTGTACTGTGCTATGTAGTTTTACCAGATGGGTATCTGTCTGATTCCCTGATGAACAGCAGCATTAGGTTCTTCTGGGCTTATGAGCTGCCAAAAGCTGATGTTCTGTTGAAAACATGGTAATGGCAAGTATATTGGGTTGCCAGACAACCATCCTCTTTCATATCCTAGCCATATATCCCTGGCAAGTAAGAAGTTATTATAGTAGCAGAGAGCCAAACCTCTCTGTGAGAGAGAGTTCTCTTGCCAACCTGCAGTAGGTGTCTGTTGCTACAAATACCTTTTTGAATTGTTGGTGTACAGCTCTGAACAAAACAAAATATTTTAGATTCAAATGGTTTTAAAATGCCCCTGTGTGCAATCTGCATTTCGGCATTAGATCCAGCCTTGCTTTGTTTTCATTTGAATTGATAAATATGTCTGTTAGTGTATGTAAATAAACAGCAAGCATAAAACAGGATGTAAACCACATACCACAAAGTCAATCTCTGCTATTGCCATCTTCTTGTTATTAAAGCAAAACACCTCACAAGTACATTTCTTAGAAGCAGACTGATTGAACAAGAAATTATTTTTCCCCACTAACAGGCGATTTTCCCATTACCATCAGCAAATCCCAGATGCCTTGCTCTTAAGCTTTTCTTTAAGTACCTCACAAAGGCAAATTTCTGCACTTATGGTGATCAAACAGGCACATGTTTGTGAGGCATCGTGTGCAACTAAAATTTAAAGTCTCCTTGTTCCTCTTCCCTTCTAGTCTGTAATATGGTCACTATTCTCATAAACTCTTACATTTTTAAGCAACAATTCTAATGTTTCTCATTATTTCATCCAGAGATTCTGAAGAAATTGCTGTTCCTTTCTATAAGTAATTGTTGCTGATTTTCTTGCAAGGAAAAAGGCATTTTAAAGAACAGTTCCACAGTTTGATCTTAAATCAGGATTTGCTTTTCATGTCAGGTAAAATTACCTGTCTACTGAGTTTTTCCCCTTTTAAATCCCCTCAAGAGAGATCATCAGCAAGAGTTGTCTTCCTTCTATATATGTAGTACATAAGCTGTTTATTCTTATGTGTGATCTAGAAGGGTCTCAGAAGGTTAAAAAGCTTCTAGCTTCATCATAGTTAAGTGGATTAAATCCTTTATTCTTTCTGCATATAAAGCTGCATTTTTTTTTACCCCAGGAATCTTTCACGTTAATGTGTTTAGAGGGAAAGGATTTGTGTAACGCCATATATTTATTACATATATTCAGTATATTTGCTAGACAGAAGTACTAGTTTGATCTGGGAGCTGCTAGTAGGTGGGTGCTTGACAATATCATTTTTTACCTGTCATTTCCCCATATCGTAGTGTATTGATACCATCACTCAGAGACCATTTGAAAAAAGTTTGCAAGCCAATGATTGACCACACTGCCATGAAAGTCTGGACAAGAAATGGAAACTATTAATTGGAGTGTTTGATATTTCATTGTGTATTAACAGATTGGGAGTGCCATTTACAATAATTTGTTTTGCTTTCAGAATATACACTGATTACTGGAAACAAGTAACATAAGGTTCCTTTCTTTTTTTTTGTATTGCCAGTTTAGTGTGCTTACATTGTCCGTCGCAGATATTGGTCCTGTCCTGTTTTTTCATATATTTGCTCCAGTTGTAATATTTACGGCTGCCTTCGAAATGGATTTTTATGCTTTTCAGAAAACATTTTGGCAGGTAAGATGTAGTTTTAAAAATGTATTTTAGAATGCATTATACGGAATAGGTAAATGTTTAATGTGTCTTGTTTTTCTTTGAGACTATAAAGTGTGGCTGAGACAGTTCAGCAAAAGTAGTGTTCCACATTCTCGGTTTTTACTGATTTCCGCTGATAAATTCCCTGTTTTGTTTTGTTTTTTAATTCATTCAGTTTTTTCTGATTTACATCTGTTTTTCAGTTCAAATCCCTGTTAACCAGCACGAGTGGGGAATGGCAGCTCTGGCTTCGGCCCTGCCCTGGGTGCTGGTAGCTGTGAGCCCTAAGCCTCACTTTGGTGGGGGGGGGCCCTGTTCCCTGCAGTGGGTGCTGCACCCAGCTGCTTAGCATGGGCCCATGGGACTGGAGCCACTGCCTGGAGGCGTGGGGTTCCCAGTTGTGACTGGGCGGGGTGGGGCAGGACGGGCCACGGGAATCACTCCTGGGGCGGGCAGCTCCGGCTGCGGCCCTTCCCTGGGTGCTGGGAGCTGTGAGCCCCAAGCCCCACTGGGGTGATGCAGGCAGGAGAGCCGGATCTGCTCCAAGTGGCATAGGACTGCACCGGGGCCCTCAGCACGGGCCCATGGGGCTGGAGCCACTGCCCAGGGTCATAGGGCGCCTGGCTCTGACCCCAGGCAGGGCAGGAGGTGCTGGGGTTGGAGTCAGGTCCCCGGCCCCCTCCCTCCCAGTGCTACTGTCTGTCCCGAGCACTGGTAAGATCCTGATGCTGCCACTGGCCCCAGCCTGCAGTGGCAGCAGGCTGCAGCACAAGCAGGCTACTGCCCGCCCAGAGCACAAGGAAGAGCCTGGGCTGGCGAGGACACCAGGCTCTTCCTGGTGCTCAGGGTGGATGGCAGCTTGCTTTCGTCCTGTGTGCAGATCCGGGGACACATTTCCTCCAGAAGAACCTGGCACAGCCCTCGCGGGGGGCACATAGCAACAGGAGCTGCACCCACTGACAGCTTCCGCCACTTTGTTTCCTGCTGCAGCCCCGGAAGTGGCCAATGGCCTGTGCCGTGCCCATCTCCCTCGCCCCTTCCCTAGTCCCAGCCTTATTCTTTCCCTCACCACTGATTTTTCCTTGATTTTAAACCGATTTTTTCCCTTTTCTTCCTTTTACCCTGATTTCATCCTGGTTTTTATGTTTTGAAGATATGCCCCGAAAAATTCCCCAATTTTTTTTAAAAATAAAAACAGAATGTGGAACACTAAGCGAAAGTTATACACTGTATAAAGAAAAAGGGTTCTGTGGAGCCAATAAGGTTTTAGCAGCATATTTTAAACATTTTGAAAAGAGCTCTACTGCTTCTATAATCGGGGTTAGGCACAGAGGTGTTACATCTCTGATTTTCTCTGCCCTTCCAGTACTGATCTAAAGGTTTGTGGGAAGATCCAAGAAATGGGTATATGTCTACACTGCAGAGTTCAATGTAGTCCAGAAATACTTGAGATTGCTGCCAGTATTCAAGGTAGCTAGTTTAAGCTATGTAGCCATAGCAGCATTCGGCTCTATCTGAATTATTTTACCTTGCAGAGTAAATTAATCTGCATTGGGCCCTCTACTGCTACAACTAGATTGCTGCTGCTACCTGAGCTAGCTTGTTCATACTTATACATAGTGAATCTAACTCTAAACTATAAACTGTCAAAGGCCCATTGTACTCCTCAGATTTCTGCTATACCTCTTCCTTGTTCTTTACCCTTCAGTTTCTTGATGGTGAAGATTTTTCCTAATTACCCAATTTAAGTTCCCATGAAGTGGATACTCTATCAGCATCTCTAGCTAACTCTATTGTCTTTGGGCATGAGGTGTTTCTTCTTACTCCATTTCTATCCCCTGGACCTAATGCCTACAGTTGCCCTCCAGTCTTGGGAAGGCCCACAGGTTTTCCTTTCTCTGCCTTAGTGCCAATCATCTTTGAGTAGGTGCTGCTTGAAATCAGTCCTTTAAACGGTGCTGTTGATTTAGTTATCACAGAACTACCTCAACTGGTAGTAGGCCCTCTACTTATGAGGAGATAGAATTGAATTAGGGTCCCCCCCTAAGAATGTAAAAAATATGAAACATAACACAGGTGGTTTGTATAGTCATGCCTGTAGTATAATTGTCTAATGCTTTCCATTGTAAGACCCTGTTTTCAGTTGCCTGTAAATTTGTCAGACTTAACTAGTTTAAAATAAAGGTTTATTTGCCAGGGGATATCTGAAGCTAAAACTTCCAAAAAAACCTGAAGTTCAGTTAAAATAGTTCAGTCACTTCCAAGAACAAGGTTAAGGACAAATACATTGGTTATATAAAGTACAATATTTTGACTATCTCACCAAGATGTTTTAGTACTTCTATAATTTGAAATAGAATATTTAAAATTTGGCATCATGGATTGCCTTGATGTCAGGGCACGCTTTTGTGCTCTTCCTGTGAAAATCCCACCTACATTTGGTTAGGTTACATGCTTTTGCAAATTTCTAGTTCAGGCATTTTCAGTAGAATTTGGGAGTTAATGTACTCAAAGAGTCTGATTGTGTGCACAATCTGGATTGTGGATGCACCATTTCTAGAGAGGAAGTGAACATGCTTTATCCCAGAGATAAAAACAACTGAGCAGGACTTCTCTTCCAATTGCTTTTCCTGGCTGTTAGAGGCTGTTTGGCACTGGGAACATAAAAAAGATCTGCTTCTGTGCCCTAGGTTCTTCTACAGCTGCATTTGGGGAATGAGAAGAACAAAACAACCTGATCTGAACACAAGGGCCACGTCCAGACAAGCAGGGGTGTGTGCTTGCGGTGGCACAAATAGCAGCACAAATTTTTGCCAGTATTTTTTGCCTCAGTGCACACCCATGCACAGTGAATGCCCCTGCACAGTGCACATTGTTCCGCTGTGGGCAAACTGCCTGCGCCTGGCTCCTGGCATGCTGCTCTGACTAGGCTCTATATGCTGGGGGAAGGAGGTGGGGAAGAAAGGGTGCTGGCTGGGACACAGGGTGCCGCAGTGCAGGGCTAGCCAGCAGGCAGCCCACACACTGAGGCAACCTGCACCCCAGCCAGCTGGGGAGCAGCATGCAGAGATGCACATGCTGTAGAACCCCTGAGCTGAGGCATCTGTGCCCCAGCCATCTGGGGAGTGGCACATGGCTGGGGTGAACTCTGGGTTGCCTGCTTCCTGTCTCTGCGTTTCTGCCAGCACATGCTATTTTGGCATGCCTTGCACTACTTTTTTTCCCAGGGCTTTTTTTGCTACTGGGAAATCCTGGTAACAAACTTTGCCCCCACCCTGAAGATTAGCAGTGCCGCACATGGTTTAACATGCAGCACATGTGATCTGTCGTACCCCAATGAGGTTTTTGGTGCCTCAAACTGCACATGTCTGCACGTGTGGATGTGGCCAGGGGTTGCTTACAGAAGTTATTAGGCCTGTGTGAAGCAGCTAGTATTTGCTTTGGATTTGGATTTGGCTGATTTGGGGGACAGTGATTCAATTTGGTGATTTGAATCACTGTCCCGAATAGATTTGGTCAAATCTGATTCGGCGATTCAGCTGCTGCCAAATCAGCCGAATCTCCAAATTACATAGGCCCCATCTCCTGCCTGCTCTCCCAGCCCCGGCAATAGCTGCCTTGCCTCAGCTCCTGGCACTTTGAAAAAAGAAAGCCCGCACTCGCTGACTGCTACTGGGAAGGGGTCAACCCCTGCTGCCCCATACTGCGTGGGGGGCTCTTCCATGAGCTCCCCGACCCCTGCCCGCTCTCCCAGCCCCCCCATGGCTTCCCCACCCACCCCAGCTCTGGCCCTTTAAAAACAAAAAACCAAAAAAAATCACGGTCACACCGGTTCCTGCCTGGTGGGGGGCCATCTCCACTGCCCCACACCACGTGGGGGACTCTGCATGAGCCCCCAGAAGCCCTGAGACCACTGCAGGAGATGGTGAGTGCGGGGAGTTTTGTTTTTTTTTCTTAAAGGGCCGGGAGCTGGAGTGGATGGGGGAGCAGGGGAGGTTTGGGGGGCTCATGGCAGAGCCCACCATGCAGTGTGGGGTAGCAGGGGACAGTGGGGATCCCCCCCCCACCAGGCAGCAACTGGTGAGTGGGGGCTTTTTTTTAAAGTACTGGGAGCTGGGGAGGCAGGGCAGCCATGGAAGAGGGCTCAGAGAATGGACAGGGGTTGGGAGACACTGGGGGAACAGGCAGGGGATGGAGCCTGGTGGGGGTCCCCCCCTGGTCCCCTCCTCCAGCCTCCCTTCCCCTGCCCCCTACTTACCAGCGCTGAGTCCGGGTCCAGGTCCCTGCTGCAGCGGGTAGGTACTGCCTCAATCACTGAAGCTCTCCGAATCTTTTCCAAATTGATTTGGAGAGCTTTTAATTGGTCCCTTGATTCAATTTGGATTCGGAAATTTGGCCACCAAATTGGGCTGAGTCTCCTCCGAATCGAATCACCACCTGAAGCTTTGCACAGGCCTAGAAGTTATAAAGGGCACTTCAATCATGCAGTAACTTTTTGTGCTTTACACAAAGGCATTTTATTTTAGAGCACCTTCACTTAATACCTAATTTAACAAGGGTTATTTTTTTACATGATTAGCCATTTTAAAAGCACTCTGAAGCTGTGCACATGTGTTATGCCATGGCTGTAGAGAGATTTCAGGGACCAGATTGTCCGGAAAATGTCTCTTCTGTTTGTGCCTAGGGAGATAAAAATAGGGGTGAGAAGGGTTGAGATATAGGGTAAGAAACTGACAAGAGTTTATCACAGTGAGATATGGGTGTGTGGCAAGGGTTAGCAACAGTAATTGGAAGGCAGGACGGGGTAGGATCAGATAGGGGGTAGGGGGAGATGGGAGAAAATATGAGTGATAGGCACAGGGTTGGACAGAGGTAGCAGTTGTGGGGGAACTGAACCTCAGCTGCAGAGGGTGTAGTAGCAGGGATGAGGACAAGGGTAGTGAGTAGGGATAGTGACAGAAAGGGACGGGGCAGAAGGGTTTGCAACTACAAGCGTATACTTATTTAGAGTAGAGAATATGAACTAGAAACATTATTCCTGAATTACAATGTTCCTTTGCTTTTAACAAATAGTTGTGAAACTCATTGATAAAGTATCTCCATTCTCCTCTAGTGGCAAGTCTCCACAAAGAAAAGACTTTTGCTATTATTAGTGACTAAATTACTTCAAATGATAGAGGGCCATGCTGTATATGATAAGATCACAACCCCCCTAAGGCCATATGTAGATGAAACGAGAGGTGTGTGTGCATGACACTTTAAAGCGGGCTAAATGCTTTTGCACTGCTTTAATGGCGTCAGTGTTTGCACGCCTCAGCGGTGTATTGTTGCACATTAATTCCAGCCACTGTAGGATATTCGGCGCCATAATGCTTCCTAAATGACTTGGGGCGTAGCAAACTAAAACTCCTTTGAGGAGTTTTAGTTTGCTGCCTGTACAGTTGTGGAGCAAAGCACTGGGCTCTGTGCAGCTCCACGGCTCTGCAGGAAGCCCTGCAGGCAGCCTGGCAGCAGCTCGGGAAAGCAGACGCCTCCCAAGAAAAGCGGTAAGCCTGATCCTCCCCTACCTACGAAGCCTGCCTGCCTGCCTGAGTTGCGCAGTGGCGTGGTGTTTCCCTCCACAGCTGCGGTGCGCCCTGGGACCTCCTGAGCTGGGTGCCTGCAGGCGGGTTGTGCCTGGGGGGGCCACTGCTGCCATGGAGGGAAGTACCAGCCCCTCCCTGCCCCCACCTGCAGCCCAGGGACCTCTCCGCTCACTGGCAGCTCGCTCTCTCCTCCCTGCCGGAGGGGCACATAAGTTAGCAGGGTGTGTGCACAACATGGGGGTTTAATCAGTCCTAAATTAAAGTGTTTTTTAAAGGGGATCCCCACAAGGGAACCACACTGTCAGAAAGGACACAAACCATCCTGGGAGTGGGTGACAGGCCCAAAATTGATGTGGCTCAGGTGAGGGAACACCTTGAGAAACTCAACATTCACAAGTCTGCGGGCCCAGATGGAATGCACCCAAGCGTCTTGAAGGAGCTGGCAGACATCATTGCATCCCCCTTGGCAAAGATATTTGAAAATTCGTTGTGCTCGGGCGAGGTCCAGAAGACTGGAAAAAAGCCAAAGTGGTCCCTATCTTCAAGAAAGGGAGGAGGGATGACCCGGGAAATTATAGACCAATCAGTCTGACATCCATCCCTGGAAAAATCCTGGAGAAAATTGTCAAGGGAACCATCAACACCAGACTAATGGAAGGCAAGCATCTGAATGCCAGCCAACATGGCTTTATGACTGGCAGGCGTTGCCTGGCCAACCTCATCTCCTATGACCAGGTAACATGTGCCTTGGACAAGGTTGATGACATGGATGTCATATATCTGGATTTCAAGAAAGCCTTTGACCTAGTTCCCCATGATGTCCTCATGGTTAAGCTGGGGAACTGTGGCCCTGATCATCTAGGTAATTGGCTACGGGGTTGGACCCAAAGAGTATTAGGACGGGAGCAAATCAACATGGCACATGGTGACCAGTGGAGTCCCTCAGGGCTCAGTACCCGGGCCGATACTCTTTAACATCTTCAGATGCGAACTGGCAAAGATCATGGATGACACCAAATTATGGGGGAGGGCAGTCACACTGCAGGACAGGCTGGGGATACAGGCTGACTTGGACACTGTCAAGGTGGGCTGACCAAAACCTGATGGCCTTCAATGTAGAGAAGTGTAAGGTGCTGCACCCTGGTAGCAAGAACCTTCAGCATACTTCCAGGCTCGGCAGAATTATGCTAGCACCACTAGCACCACGACTGAAAGAGACTTGGGGGCCTTGATTGATCACCAGACGAATATGAGCCACCAGTGCGATGCTGTGGCTGGCAAAACTGTGGTGTACATTCACTGATGCATCTCAGGCAAAACCAGGGATGCCATCCTGCTGCTTTACTTGGCCCTAGTGAGACTGCTGCTGGAGTACTGCATCCAGTATTGGGCCCCCCACTTTAGGAGGGATGTGGAAAAGCTTGAGAGGTTAAAACTATATATTGTTTCAATTCTGGCTTTTGTTTAAGTGGAAATTACACATAAAAACATCATCCTTGATAGAGCCCACATCTCCTGAAAAGATGCACATGCCCAAACACTAGGAAATCAGCATGTCTTTAAAGGGAAAAAAGTGTGAACAGATAAGTTTTTTCAAATTTACGTAGGAAAGAGGTTGAATTAAGCAACTCGTCCTATTTAAGACCTATTTCCAGGTTTTGGAAGATAAATGGCAATATTAATCCAACACTAATGTGTGCATATTTCTAAAAAATTTAATGTGTCTTTAATAATAAGTTTAACTGAATTTGAGTCTTTTAAACACTCATATGCACTAACTGTGACTGATATGGTTGCTGCATGGTTAGTGTTCGGTTTTTATTAAAAAAAAAAAATCTGGGAACTTTTCAGGGTTCATCTTCGAAACAAAAACCAGGATGAAATCAGGGTAAAAAGAAGGAAAGGGAAAAGTTTCGTTTAAATTGGGGAAAAATCAGGGGTGAGGGAGGGAGAGAGTAAGGCTGGGACTAGCTAGGCAAGGGGTGTAGGGGGAGGGGCATGGCGCAGTCGGTTGACTGCTTCCGGGGCTGCAGCAGGGAGCAAAGTAGGGGAATCAGCAGTGGGTGTGGGTCGGGGGGCCGCGGCTCTTGGATCTGAGCATGGGACAAGAGCAGGGTGCTGCCTGCCCTGAGCACCAGGAAGAGCCTGGTGTCACCGCCAGCCCAGGCTCTTCTTTGTGTTCTGGGCAGGCGGGAGCCTGTTCTCACTGCAGCCTACTGCCACTGCAGGCCCGGGCTGGTGGCAGCACCAGGATCATCCCAGCACTTGGGACGGGCAACATCACCGGGATTGGGGGGGGGACCTGGCCCCAGCCCCGGTACCTCCTGCCCTGCCTAGGGTCAGAGCTGGGAGCCCTACAGCCCTGGGCAGCATCTCCAGCCCCGCAGGCCTGTGCTGAGCACCCGGGTGCAGTCTTCTGCTGGGAGTGGGGCTGGACTCTCCTGCCTGCCCCCCCTCCCGGCAGAGCTTGCAGCGCCTGGGGCAGGGCTGAAGGCAGAGTCGCCAGGGTGCAGGTGGGACCTGCCCACCCTGGGAGTGATTCCTGCAGCCCGTTCTGCCCTGCCCAGGGTCAGAACCAGGAGCCGCACACCTCCAGCCACCCTCCCCCAACCCCTGCATGGCCACCACCACCCCTTTGCCTCCTGCTCTGCATGCAGCCGCCAGCATCTGGCTGGAAACCTGTGCCTCAGGTAACCAGCACAGCAGCACTTTTAGCTTATCAGCACCACCCATTTTTCAGTTCAAATCCCTGTTAACTGGCACCCCTGTTAACTGGCATGGGCCATTCGCCACTCGTGCCGGTTAACAGGGATTTGAACTGAAAAAATGGGTGTAAATCAGTAAAAACCAAATGACTTAAAAAAAAAATCGGGATTTATCAGTGAAAACCAGTAAAAACTAAGAATGCGGAACACTATGGATGGTGTCTGAACATTGTTTGGATATTGTACCAGTATGTAATCTATAGTTCAAATAAGTGTGGATTTCTTTTAGTTTAATCTTCCTGTGTTTGTAATTCTTTTGTGGCTAATTACAATAGCCTAATAATATTTTTTTGTCCCAGCATTATTTATTCTCAATTATAAACTCAATTCCATATAATTTTGAGCTGGAAATATAGAATGAATTACTTGTATTGTGATGCAATAAGCTATATATTTTACATCCATTAATACACATATATATTTTCTTCACAGGTATTAGTTCTTTCAGTTCCTGGCTTTTTGCTGAATTGCATTTTAATTGGATGGTTAACTTACAAAATCAATAAATATAATTGGTCCTGGGATATTAGCATGCTATTTGGAATCATTCTTAGCACAACAGATCCTATCCTGTCTGTCGCTTCTGTAAAAGACATCGGTATGCTAGATTTTCTACTAACTTAAAAAGTATAAATATTTTAAGGTTTAAATAATATATACTAAGTACAGAAAAAGTCAGTAATGAAGTTTAAATATAGTTTCCTATGGCCAAGAATTCCCTTATATTGTGAGTTTAGGTATGAAAATGATTGTTGGTCTTTATTTCAGTTGTGTTTTACTGCCACTAGAATGAAGGAGCAATCTCCTGGCCGCTTTTACAGCCTTTTTGGAACTGCACCATGAATGCAACTTAACCAGACTGCTGAGCATTTTCTTGGCATGCATTCTGTGTTGCTGCTACTAATACACCTCTGTATTCTGGAAGTCACTGGCTAACAGGACATCTCTTTAGAAACTATTATCAAGCAATTCCAGTGAGCATTTGAAGCTATTTTAGCTCATGTAAAGAGTGAAGGTGGCTCCTAGAATTCCAGAACGGGAATAATAAAGTTGTTGCAAACTACCTTTGCCCCTTTCATCAGATCTGAATCCGCTGGATTTTGGCCAGATTGAAAGATCAAGCCCCTAAAGTGCAAAATTATATATTGGTGATACCTTAAGGAATACTTTCTTAGGCTGCAAATAAATTAAAACCTGGAACATTATAGCTGAAATAATTGCTAAAATTTGTCCATAGTACAGTGTCTATGTACTTCAATTAGAACCTGTTCCCTGTGGTTTACTTCATTCTACATACATATGACCTTTTATGAAAATGAACTTCTCTCTCTCTCTCTCTCTCTCTCTCTAGCTATATATTTATCAGTCATACATACATACTCACACAGAGGCTTGGCAGAATTTGATTTTTATTTTTTAATAATGTTGACAGCTAAAATAAATGCTTATTTTTTAGCTTTTATTTCTATTTTTATCATTGTCAATGTTCAGGATTGCATGAAATTAGGAGTGTGGGGGGCACACGATTTAGTAATGACAGTATACTGTCAAAAGTTTTTTATAATCACGTCAAAATAGAAAAAGTAAATATCCATAAATCAATCAATCATACCTGCTTTAAATCTTCTGTTTAGGGTTGCACCAATAAAGATTTTGGGGGCCAATGCTGACAGCCGATTTTAAGGATTCGTATCGGCCGATACCAATCTGATTTCCAGTACAGTTGCATGCAGCTGGTAAGTCTGTTGTGGTGGAAGGGGAGGAGGGGAGCAAAGGGGCGTGGGGGGGTGTAGATCAAGGCCCCTGCGGTGAGAGAGGGAGTGGGACAGGGGCTGGGGTAAGCGCTACCCAGCTGGGGCAGGCTGTAGGACAGAGCTGTTGCTCATCTGAGGGGAGTGAGGTGGGGGGCGGCTCCCACCTCTACGCACACCCTGGGAGTGCATGGGAATGGTGCGTGTGTCCCAAGATCTGTGCAGGGTGGGATAGGGCAGGCTGCAGCTGCGGGCTGGTGCTGGGCTGAGCTTGGGGCAGGTGGCGCTGGTGCTGGGAGAGGGCATACGGGGGTGGGGGCTGAAGCCGCCCCAAAATTTGCTGTAGCCCTGCCATAGACCCCCCTCCCAGCACCGCTGCCGCCCACCCCGAGCACAGCTGCAGCCCCAGCCCACAGCTGTGGCCCACCTTGCCTGCGCCCTGCACAGATCGGGGGCACCCCCTCCCCCCATGCCCTCCCAGGGTCCATGCAGCGGTGGGAACTACTCCACACCCCCCAGACGAGCCATGGTTTTGTCACATGCCCCACCCCACCCTGGCTGGGCAGCACCAGCCCCTTCCACACTCCCTCCCTCACCGTTGGGGGGGCATTGATCTGCCCCCCACCCCGTTCCCTCCTCTTCCACCACAACAGACTTACCAGCTGAATGCAGCTCTCCATGCTGCCAGGCTGTGCTCCTCACCACCTACGTGCTGCACTGCAGCTGTACGCATGCATGGGCATTTATCGGCGAAATTATCGCCCACATCAGGCCGATTTCCAATACAATCAATTTTTTTTATATTGGTGCTGATCCAAGATCAGACTGATGTATCAGTGTACTTCTAATTCTGTTCATTCTCCTGGAAATAGCAGGGCAGGCAGGAATCAGAAGAGGGTGGCAGCAGCACTCCTAGAACTCTGGAAACACGGGGAGAGGCAGTGGGCACCCTTAGCACCCCCCAAATGGCCCAGCCTGCCCCATCAGGACCTTGCTTCCACCTTGAATACTCTTCCCCCTCCCCCCCC